GCATTACATCCTTCCTACTTATTTATTCCTTTCTTTCCTTCACCAGTGATTATTATTGACCTTTTTTTTTCCAATGAAATCTTCAACTTCCAATGATCAACAATAGTTTTTCTTTCCCTCTTGAAATCCTTTTCAGCAAAGCCCCCCAGTAACACTAACACTGACACATCAGTGACTTTCCTCCCCATGCTCTATGCTTTCATTAAATGGGAACCAGTGAATGCTTTCCACATATTATGAAACAAAATAGTGGCCTTTACAGTACTCTATTATCAGGGAAGGTTATCAAATACAGTTGCCGTGACAGAATCAGGGGCAGATTTCCAAAGCAAAGCATCTCTGCTCCTGAAACATGCCTTATTGAAAGCACACGGTGTAAATAGTTCATTTCTAAAGTAGCTGAAAATCACTACCAATATCAAATCAAAACAGCTGCTACAACTCAGGCCATTTTATGATGATCACACCAATAATGCTGCTGAATCATAGCATAATTTAGGTCAGAAGGGGCACCTAGAGGTCATCTAGTCCAATCCCCTGCTCAAAGCAGGGCGTCTTCAAAGTTAGATTAGGTTGCTCAGGGCTTTGTCCAGTTGCGCTTTGAATATCACCCAGGATGGAAATTCCACAGCCTCCCTGGGCACCTCTTCTACTCAGCCTTTCACATCGTGAAGCCTTTCCTTACAAGCAGTTGGAAATTCCCTTGCTGCAACCTGCGACCACTGCCCCTCATCCTTTTGCTGAACACCTGACAAGAGTTTGGCTCCATCTTCTTCACAACCCCCCATTAGTCCCAAAAGGAAACAAAAAACATTAGAAACTATTTAAACAAAACCTGTAAGGAAAACAGCATGAGAAGAAATAATTCATAAGTGGACTATAGTGGTCTAGGGTTGAAGGATTTCCGTCCCCCAGAGGTGTAAACAGGGAGCAATCCAGTGGCACCGTATCTTGCTGATTACAACTAGCATGCTTTTAAGTACACACCAATTTTTCCCTTTGCCTCACAAACAACAAACTGCTCTTACTCCTCTTTTTTCCCCCAACATCCCCATAAAGAGTTCCCTTTTGCCATTCACCTCTATCTCTCCTTCTCCTCTCAGGAAAACGGGGAGCTGCATAACCATTGCAACTGGTCACAGTCACTTTGCTTTGGCTGCCAGAAGAAAGAGAATTGGATCCATGTATCATTCAGGGTAACCAAGGAGAGAGAGTAGGTCTTGGAAAAAGGCAAATAAGACAGACAATTCTTTTAAAGAACAACTTTTTGTGATTATTTAATCAAGTGTTGCTATTAAATTTACCACATCTGATGCAAAGACAAGTAAGCATCTACACAGACCCTAATTTTTATTTAGTAAAGAGGAAGGGGCTCTAGCTCTGACTCTGAAGTCAGAAAAAATTGGTGAAAAATACACATTTTCCTCCGTATTAAATTGCCAATACAAAAGAACTAATGACAACCTTCCCCTGCTCCAATTTAGTTCTCCTGTCCTGTGTACATTTATGCATTTACATGACACCCAAAAAGCAAAAAATCAGAGAAATCAGAGTAACAAAACCACCACATATAAGAACATTGAATCCACATAATTACTCTTCTTTGCAGAAAAAAAAGAAGACAGACAGAAGTGCCATAAGAACCAATAATTAATTAGAAAATATCCCTAATTTTTTTTTAATTATTATGCAAATCTGTATTAACTCAACAAGTTTTTAAAAAAATGGCAAGGGGCGGGGGGCAGGAGGAGAGAAACTCCTTGGTTTGTACAAAACCAAAACAGCATCTCTTGAAATACTTTATTAAGGGACAAGCTTGGCAAAAGTTATTTGCGTGTAAGTCACAAAATATAGCATGTTTGACTAATTCTTTCCCACTTTACTAACAGCATCAGCCAGTCTTCCCACCGTTTTTCCAGTATACCTGGACAAGCCTCCGAAAAGACACATTTACAGTGGAAAGCCTTAAATGGCAAAATAACTTACCTGGCTCTACCCTGACTTTTGCAACAAAGTTATCTTCATTCTAGCAGTATCAAAATCAGTACAATTCATTAACACAATTGTTCAATCAAGTATTACGTTGTATCAGTTGCATAAGAAAGTTTTGTGACATCTGTATCATGCAGTACAAATACATCTTTCTGATAAGACTCTCTAAAGTGTATAAGCGTGTGTGTGCGCGCACAGTAAAGACTGCAAGTCTACAACTGCACACAACTTCTGGTCCAGAAAGGACAGCACTAGCACTGTCTTGCAAGAAGAGTTTGCTGCCAACTGACCACAAAGCTGAACACGTTACTACAACAGAGATACCGCTCTTTCTCACCATGCAACTACGCCCATGATAGCAATATCAAATAACATGACTGCAAATACTGTTGCCCACAAAATAAAAAAAAACCAACAAACTTCCCTCTATGCTGAATTTCTTAAATTCTTAATGCAATTGTTATGTTGTCAGAAACTCTATTGACACTTTTATCTAACAGAATTTATTGCCTGCCACAGGAGGATGACTGCTTCCCAAAATGGACTTGGTAGCAGCCATACTTACAGAGCATAGGACACAGAAACCCTATAAGCAAAACAACATTAAAAAAGGTTGGTAAGTATTTATTTACTGCCTAACACTGAGAACAGGTAACTGTTGAAAATTTCAGCGTTTCTCTGGCTTAAAATTCTCAGGCTAAAAAATTAGCGATCACTGAAATGTCTTTTTATTTCAAAGAACACACACACACTCTCATCTAATAATGAATCATATTATAATGAAAACTAACATCTTTACTGCAAAATAACTATTGTGCCAGCAAAGCACAATATTCTCTTTATCTTTTTCTAGATTTTGATCACGCTTGGTCTTCTTCATGCAACTTACACCTTTACCAACAGATATAAAGTTTTTCTAGAAAAATCAAACTCCTTTTTAAAGAGACATTAAGTTTAGAGCTTCTTCCCCACTGAACATACTAAAATATATTTTTCAAATTAAGCATTCACTGATAAAAATCATAAACTCATCACTATACTACAGTATTGTCAGATTTTTCAAGCAATAATATTTGTTTAAAGATGACAATGATCTTAGTGTTTACACTTGCTTCAACAGCTGCTCAAGACATCTCTTCTATATTCACATTCATTTAAGGCTATGACATTTTTTCTACATCTTATCTGACTCTATAATATGCAGGCACAGTGTTCATATATGAGTGCAGACCAGTCTGAACAGCTGCTGTATAATAAATACTTCATTCTTAGTTTTTGTATGCTTAGTATATCTATCACAGCTCAAATAAGAAAACATTACTGCTCTCATCACATTTAGTATTAGCTTCCCTAAGCTATAAAAGAAAAAAAAAGGGGGGGAGGGGGAGGGGGACAAAAAAACAAACCACACCAAAAAAATCCCCACAAACCAAAAAAACACCACCTCTCCTCTTTCCACAGATCTGATTTCTGACCTTAGAATACTTTTACAGGTTTACAACAGCAAGCTATCATACATCAAAAGTTGATTGCAGCTACCCCAAAAACTAGCACTTTCCCTCATGTTTCCCCACAAAAGATTTTAACACTTTTTTCCCCCCAAGCCCCAATAAAGCCAAACTATATCCCTTCTGAAAAAACAGGCTAAGTGATAGTGTTTTGGGTAGCGCATGAAAGAAGGGATGAAAACACAGATTTGAGAAATACACCAATTAATTTTTCCGTGAAAACATGAAGTAATGACTTAAAGTTTTAAAGTGGTATTTGACATCTAGATTTAATGTTAATATTTTACTTTATGAAATAAAATGAACTCAGAGGAACTGTTCCTCAAATCACATGCTAAATCAAGGAAACAAACTTCTTTTTTCTAGATGTAGTACCTCCAGAGGTGTAAAGAAGGAGCAGTCTTGCTGATGACAGGTTAAATACGAATATACATGCAGAACTTGAATTATCTTCATGACAAAATGAAAAAATGCCCATTCAATTCCCTCCCCCAGCAAAATTCTTCTGCTTACAATTTCTACAGTCATCAGCCAGAAGTATAAGACAATAACAATCTACAGATTGGTTAGTGCCTCCTTTGCTCTGCTATCTCTTGCATGTAGGAATCAGTCTTTCAGAGCTGACAGTGGCTCAAGATAACACTTATGAGTGTCAAGTAAGTTAAAACCAGTGGTTGTTCCCCCCAGAACAAGACACCAGCACACTACTTTTATGTGTCTTACTCCTCACAAGCAGACTCTAAGCTTACCCTCAATAAAATAAAAAGAAAACTCAAGACAGTCCAACCCTACCACTGAAAACCTATGCTTTTTCTTAAGCAGACAACTACACTCCATTCCCTTCTCCCTACTTACCTACAGAGTTGCCAGCCTGAAAGATACACTGCTGAACCAGGCTCTCTCACAAAGATTCAATGAAAAACGATACTGTAATAATGAATGGGAATACTATAGAATTCTAAATCAATCCATATATTAAAATAATTAGAATTTATGTATAAATTCTAACTGCACGTAGTTTTAGCACTTAACTACACAGCTGCCCAAAAATGAAATCATACAACACAGACACATCATCTGGGAAAAGAGTATTATAAACCATTTACGGTAATAACCAGAGATCTACAAATAAAAAGAAGGGAGAGAAACACACACTTACTTACTTGTATTCTGGTTAAGAACAATTCACTTTGGATCCCATTCTTCACTTCTTCAGGTAGTGATGCTAATTTTCCATTTTGAGCAGAGAAACAAACTATAAGCTCCTCATTGGGCATCATTTATATTAACATGAGAAATTTCCAGACTCACCTGGTTATTTGTGTTCCGAGTATGCAAGAAAAGGAGACAAACATTGCCTATAAAACAGTGTCACCCTCTTGATAACAACTAAATGTACCTAACATACATGTTTGTTTCTACTTTGGGAAAAAAAAAAAAAAATCTATTTTTGGAGTTGGTGCCCATATTGCACTTGAAAATCTATATAATGCCACATACCTTAACAAGTTGAAGCTAAGATCTAGCCTTTTTGCCATATGTCCATATTTTCTTCCTAGGAATTCTGGAATTTCTTCACAGTCTTGACTAATGTAGGACACCTGAAAATCAAAAGCAAAAAGGAAACATTCCGTAAAGCGGATTATTTAGTTTCCTGTCCAGATTCTGTCTCATTGATCCAATGACAACACACAATATAGTAAATATTTGTTACAGCTTTAAGCTACATCAGTTTTACTGCTGTAGAATCTATCACAATCTCTTTTTCCTATTGATACAATCAGCTTAATATTTATTACATCTATAGTCTTATGTACAATGTGTTGTCTCCTTTCAGGTAAAAATAATTTGATTAAATGCATCGCATTTCTTCTATTCCACTGTTAATACTTTGATCGAGCATTACTTTGTATTACTGTTCTGATACACTCCAGAAGAAATTTTTTTGAAATATCAGAAGCCATTCAAAGGACTTTCTAGTTTGCCTCTCGGTACACAACACACTAAAAGATCACTTTCTAAAGTTTGGTCCAGAAGTACCCAAGCAGTGTACTGTCAATCCACTCTCATAACCATTCCTTGAGGAGATTATTATTCCCAACGGTATGCTAGGGACTGAGCAAGAGGGCTGCCTGAGATCTGAAAAACCAAGCATGAACAGCCATGTTCAGATCGCACTGCTCCTTTTACCCAAAATACTTACGAATGTCTTACCTCTTTTTAATACTAGTTCATCTAACCCACCTTTAACAATCATAGGAAGAATTAGTTGTAGCAAAAATGCAGTCTATATAGATTTTTTTTTTTTAGTCAGGATTAAGTGAGTGATAATATTTCCAGAAAAACTCAAACAATAAAACAGCTAAACTTTTTCTATTCTCTCTGCTGTATTAAGTCTTTGATTTCTGCAAAGAATGCCCACCAAGCCTGCCAAACCTGTCATCATGAATTCTATACATCTATACTGGCTCATCCTCCCAGTGTTCAAAATGTCAGTATAAACATTGACATTTCAGATTTTGTGCTAAAGAAATCTTAGTTGCGCTTAAATGGCACCTTGCTAGTTAAGTAGATTTCAACACTGCGTTAGACCACTATCAATAAGATATTGCTATTATCTAAATATTTTATATAAAGTCAATTTCAAGACCATATCCCATTGGTCTGAAAGATGTTAGATGAAAAATACATTAAAAAGTCAGTCAAACTTCGTTTTGATAGAATTTCACTTTCTGTTAAAATAGAGACTCCTCTGCAGAACAGAATGACAGTATGTACTTTTGCAAGTCATCCCGGTCTCTTACACTCTAAAAATGATTGCAATCTGATAATACTATATTGCATCCCATTTAATTCATTTTGTTCAATAACATCAACAGATAAAGCTGACAACAGTGAAATAATTTTTACGAGCAGAAAACAGGTAGCTTGAAGCTCAGTTTAACAACTTCTTCCCCTTGTTAAACCATACCTGCTCTTGCAATAAATTCTGCTACCAGACATACACATGACTTCAGCAAATACAAGGACAAAAGGGAAAGGAACTGTTTTGGGTAGTTGGCATCCTAATGGTTTGGACATAACAGAAACCATTTTGCAGAATTTATTGAATTAAATAAGTTTTATTTTTCCTCCAGTTTTCACCTAAGACAACTACAACGCACTTTACAACATACATGCAGGTATGCATACAAGAATTGCTTTATTCTTCACTGAATGGTAGATTTCTTTAACGCTTGCAAACCTTTAGGAAGACACCACGTTAACAGCAGGATAATACTTTGGATTCAGCATTTAGTTCAATGTAACACATTGAGATTGAAATGACTAAAATATGATGCCTATTAACACTAGGAGTGCAAGACTATCTTGAGCAACTACAAACACAGCAAGAGCACAGACCACCACTTTCCTTTTCACCCAGGGAGGAGTGGTGGAGGAGGAGCAAGAGACTCTTGACATGCATTCCCACTGCTTCAGAAACTTACCTGGCTATAAATGTTCTAGCTCCACAAGAAATGAAGTTGAAGAAAAAAGGTCATACAAATGTGGTTTTGAGCACACAGGAGGCAAAATACATAAAATGTTGCAAACTTCAGCCTTTGCACTGTTATAATATACAAATATATTTGCAATAACTGGTACAAACAGATTATTTACAGGCATATTTGCAGATGAAATATAGTTGTCATGACTATTTAATGCTGAGGCCTTGTAAAAGGAATTTTACTTCCACAAAGTCCACTTCAGCACACTCACAGTATGAGCACCTTTTTCAGTTTAAAACAAACAGATTTACTTTTCCACAAAATACACAAAGTGCATTCAACTTCAGATTTCTATACCTCACATACATAAACTTGCTTCAGATACCCAAGAACTCTCTTTACTGTACTCTACTGTAAGAACAGCAGCAACTGCCAGCGATGCAATACATGGTAAGCCTTTCTGAACAAGTTTTCAAGAGTTATTTCCCCACTCTTCTGCTCTTTAATCCTTGAACAATGCTGATATAAAACAAGACTTCAGTAGTCCGAACAACAGAAGAATAACATGTCTTCATTTTCATTCTTTCAGTTCAAAGGCATTTACCCAGAACACAATAAACATACATAATTCCGTATTCTTCCTCTCGCATCCATCTCAAATACCCTCAAAATGAGTATAAGCTTTCAAGTACATACCCAGAGATGTCATCACTGAGAAATGAGAGCAAGCATACTTTTCCCAAGACTCCTCAGCATTTTGGGTGCAAGGCACATCAGTAACAGCAGATTCTTAGATTTTTCTATACCGTCACAGAACATCATGTTTCCATTGCCTAATTCTCCAACTCGAATCTAATACAGGTTGGTCACACTCAATCATTCTTATTACTGGTGCCCTGCTCAATATCCCACTGAAATATTCAGAAAGTTTCCTGCAAATCCCAGCATCAGATAGCCTATGGACATCTCGGACATTCTTGCAGACTCTTCAACACACTTCATGTAATTCAAGAAAAAAATGTTTTTGCAAAGTATGTGAAACGTAAGTTAACCAGTCAATAGCAGCTGCACCTCTCTTCTTCTTTAGTTTCAGAGGATATTACCACTTAATCTCTGCAATCATTTTACAATGATATTGTAATCTTAGTAACTCATAAAGTAACATCTTTAATAAAGAAAGTCACCAAATAGGTCATGTATGAACTCTAGATATTGCATATTCCCTTCCATTGAAAGGAATTACATCTGGAGAATATTTCCAGTCGGTTGAGCATTATATTTTACTCTATGCTCTTAGAAGATTGTACGTTAGGCACATAGCCAAATTAAGAATATGCTTTACTCAAAGGGGCTCAAGGCATACTCAAGGGAAGAAGGCAGCTTGTTACTCAGGGCCACAGTGCACCACAGAGACCACATGAACCGTTTCCTGCAGCAGCTGCAAAATTAGCCAATTGCCTCCATATCACACACATATTTACATAAATGCCACACAGAAACAGTGACCAGATTAAAGAAGCAACTAGATGGGCAGCACCCTGGTTTAATGTCAAACCATTTTCAAAAAGAAGACAAGCTTTTTTTTTTCTTTTTTTTTTTTTTTGGGGGGGGGGGATTTGTTAGTTTTAGTCACAGGTTCAGCAGTAAATGACATCAATTTTTAACCAGAAAAAATTTCAGTAGCCAAATAAGGCACTGGGTAAAGGCCAGTAGGATTTGTTTTAGTTCCCAACTTCTCTCTTTAACCAAAACGAAACAGACATAGAGTTTACTTTCAGCGGGAACACTTAGCATATTTCAGTCCTTCTCTTCCGGCTTATTCCCGCAGCCTACTCAAACCTGAGAGCGGCAGGGTCCAAGAGCAATCGGAGGTCGCTCTGGAGCACGACACGCTCCTCGGCCCACCGGACCCCGCATCGGGCTCCACCGCCGGCTGCAGATCTTGCACGGGAGTGAACTGTTACAGCCGCACAGCAAAGCCTCAGAACACGCCTGTCGCCTTTGAGCAGGCTACAGCAGCAGCAGAAGTGGCAGAGTAAGAACCCCCTGCCACCAACACCCCCGATGCTCCGTTACCTGTCCCTTAAGAGCGAGCACTGCCAGGACACGCGCACACCCCCACGCCGTGCCACTCTGAGCACACCCCCGCGCGCCGCCTCGCCCCGGCCGCCCGGCGCCTTCGGGAGCAGGGACGGC